CCGGGGCGGGGCGGGTGTCCCCCCGCCGTAGCCTCGTCTGTTGCCGTGGGGTTGAGCCTGGCGGTAGGCCCCGGAGGAGATCTACCTGCAGCGGGGCGAGGAGCGAGTCGAGAGGGTCGGGTGGGGCTGGGCCGGGGCTGCCCCGCTCGCCTGCCTCTGGGTGTTCCCTCCGCGTTCCGGCCTCGCTCCGTGGCCGTGTCGCGGTCGTGCCAGCGGCCGTGGGGCCGCTCGGCTGAGAGAGGATAAGCTTGCCTTGAAGCTGAACAAGTGTCACGGAGAGCTTTTGCCGTGAAGGTCGCTGTCCGCTGTTAGGAGCGAACAACCCTCGGTTGTCAGCAAGGGCGGCCCGTTAAAGGGAAGTCAGGATTGACATCTGTGGAACGTGTTGCCGTATCCCGAGCAAATTATGTGAACGTGAATTCCACTTTAACTGTCTGTTTAAACCTACGTGCAATGTGACTAAGCCAATAACCCTGAGAAAGCAGACAGGTGGCTACTCTGCGTTTTGCTGAAGGAGAAGAAAACCACCCACTTTGGTCTGCGGAAACCTGGTAGCTCATCTGCAAGCTTGCTCTGAAATAAAGGAAAGCTAGTAGATGAATTAGTAGTTTGAATTGTTGAAATAAGCTTAGTTTTCTTAAAGCTATACTGAACTAGGTCACCTTTTCAGGCCAGTTACAGCGCTTTCCAAAGTTGCGCGATCGTTGTAGCAGTCTGGAGGGCTAACTAACAAGGGCTGAGCAGATCCAGCACAGGTGCAAGATGTTAGCCACAATTAAAGGTGTGAACTATTTGAAAGGTTGTATTTGAAATATAAGGCCTTTCACTTTTTTTTTTTGTCACTTGCAGAAAAGATTCAGCTGCTTGATCTGAAAGAGTCTTGGAAGCAAAGAAGTGGTACAAAAGGGACGTTGTTATGTCCACTGCTAATGAAGAAGATGTATGTAATCATGTGAAAGTGGTAGTCCGTGTCCGTCCAGAGTCTCAAAAGGAAAAAGATGGCAACTTTAGCAAAGTTGTTCATGTTGTTGACCGGCATATATTGGTCTTTGATCCAAAGGAGGAAGAAGTTAGCTTCTTTCATGGGAAAAGGCTGACCCATAGGGATATTAATAAAAGAACAAAGAAAGATCTTAAATTTGTGTTTGATGCTGTTTTTGCTGAAAGTTCATCCCAGCTGGAAGTTTTTGAGCATACTACGAAAAGTGTAATTGATGGCTTCTTAAATGGATATAACTGCACAGGTAACTTTGCTATTTATCTTCTTCAATTCAAAAACTTCATGAAATTCCTCAAGGTTTCTACCATTATATCCAACTGCTGCAGAAGCCTTAAAAAGGCTGAGATATAAATAAAGCACTTTGTTTTAATTTATAGATATGAGAGGCTGACTTTTTAGCCTACAGAAGTTAGGACAGCTCTACTCTATTTTGAAAATTAGTTCATGTTAAGGTTATAATAGACTTTAGAATTTTATCTGAAATATGCATGCTTATGAGGGGGAGTCCTCTGGAAAGAGTTATTCAACCAGAAGTTGTGTCACTGAGTGTGTGGTAGCCTGCTTTATGAGCTCTCTTTAAGAGCTTGGTTTTTTTAGATGGCAAATGGAACATTGTGAGGAAATGAAATACCTACCTGCAATAAGTTGATGGCTTAGGTTTATGAGAGTAAGCAAATAATATTTTCACGTAAATTGCCAGTGAATGATTTTGAACTGAACACTCAAAAATAAATGTGATTTTGAAACAGCTTTCTCGTTATAGCTGTAAAAGGTAAAGCCTAAGTAAGAAACTTGATCCGTTTATGACAACAGCTGTGCAGAATGACGGAGGCGTGTGACTGTCAATTTGACTTTTGTATTCTTGATTAGTTTACTGGTATAAATTGCATCTTTTTGCTTTGTTGTTTTTTGTGGAAATTCAGTGCTTGCATATGGTGCAACGGGAGCTGGAAAGACTCATACAATGTTAGGTTCCCCTGAAGATCCTGGAGTGATGTATTTAACCATGATGGCACTTTATAATTGCATGGATCAAATAAAAGAAGACAAAATATGCAATGTTGCCGTCTCTTATTTAGAGGTAAGCCAGTTCCTGTATTTAGTATGTTGTTTTTAATAAGACATATTTTAATAAATAAAGACAAGCTGGTTTTGCCTTCCCTGGCCCTTTCTGAGACTTTACAAAATATGTCCCTCATAAGAATGGAACTGAAATGTGCTCCACAAATTTGGTGTTGTTCATAGGCACCTGTTACTATTTTACAGAAGGCTGCCCAAAAAGGACAATCTTTTCTAATATATTCACTAAACATTCCAATGATTTCTGTCTTGCTGATCAGTTACATCCCTCTGAACATCTGTTGATGTGTACAAGAAAATATATTTCAGGACTTCACAATAGAATCCTGTAAACACTGTGAAATCACACAACAAAATGATATCTAATCCCTTTTTGATGATGTTTTTTAAAGTTTTCAGTTTATTTTATTTATCTGAGATACAGTAAAACTACTTGAATTAGAGCTACTATGCCAATGGTTAGCTCTTTACAAATATTCCTTTAATTCTTTGTTGTCACCTTCTCTTCTCCTCTCCAACTTTTTTGCATCACAGTTCTGTTTTTACAAGTAGCTGTCTTGGCACTGCTGTCAAGCAGTGTTAAAGTTGTTACTTTCTAGCCCCCTCAAAGTCTTAATGGAAGAGTAGTTAGTATTTGGGGGGGAGAAGGAGGAGGGAAAAGTTTGTTTTGCTATGTGCTGTTTCACGTGCTTCCACAGACCAAGAAATAAGGTATTTAAGAATTTTAACACAAGTACACTTGGATT